CCTAAAATACACTCTTTTTTGCTATATTTCTAGCAAATAAGCTACTAAATTTCCGGCTAACGGGCCTGGCAACAATATTCTCCTTCTGCGACACTTCACTTACTACTTATCACCCACCACACTCACCTATACTCCACCAACGCGTCTCTATTTGCAGCTATTATCTACCTCGCCGTTGCTATAATGCCAGCAAAAAGAACATGCGTTAATGCTCTAGAAATCGCGACAACTTCGAAGCGCCCTAGAGTCGCAGCGCGTCATCGCGGGACTGCCAGCCAACCTGTGCTAGTCGATACTCAGCCATTCTCACCATCTCCACCTCCTCCACCGCTGTCGCCGCGTCAAGCTCTCGTTGCCGCGCCACAAGCACCAAATTTTGAAGCGACCCTCCGAGAGTCGCGCGCCGAAGAGACGATCATCCCACCACCTAAGGGCAGCGAGCATGCCACTGTTGCAGCTTCAGGAGCAGCTAGCGAGGCTGTCGACAAGGGTTTCGTATAGGTAGAGGACAAATACGACGGCTTTAATTAGAGTCGCTACCCAAAGCACTGCAAGCCGCCCACATCACTTTCGAACCGAGCAAGCTGGGTATACAGCCATGGCTATCGCATCGCCTTGCGCAGCAACGTCGCAAAAGTTACGTGGATCTGCCACTATTGCTATAAGCACAAGTTCACTACTGTTGGCCGTGGCATACATAACGTCTCGCAGTCTCCATCAGCGCCAGCACGTCATCTCGGAGAAGACAAGAAAGTTCATGGCTTGAAGCCTCCAAGTAAGCGCACTACCGTCGCTCCTCGGAAAGAAACTCTCCTCGAACGCGCCCTTCAGAAGGGCTGCTCTTAGGCTGTTGCCAACGAGCTTACCAACTTCAATATACAAGAGTTTAGGCTTGCGGCCGTTACCTAGCTCGTCGAAAACAACCTCCCACTCTCACAATTCGAATCATCGTCTTTTCGCAATATGATATAATTAGCTAGCGTAGAGGCAGAACGAGCCTTGTGGGCATCTTATAACAGCGTCTCACGATACGTTATACGCCTGTACAACTACCTGTTACTAAAGGTTATCGCAAGCCTTTCAGAATCAATGAGCAAAGTCTATGTAAGCTTTGACGGATGGACGACAAAAGGTGGCAAGCGCGGTTACTTAGGTATCGTCGCCCACTACGTTGATAGCTCTGGCGAGCTCAGGGACTTGCCTATTGCGCTCCCACAACTGACAGGTGCCTACACCGGCGAGGCTATGGCTGAGGTCGTGATGGCAATATTCAAGCAGTTCGAAATCACTGTGGGCAAGCTCGGTTACTTCGTCCTCGACAACGCACATAACAACAACACCACGATTAACACTCTCGCCTTGCAGATAGGCTTTAGCGCTACTGAGCGTCGCCTTCGCTGCGGTCCTTATACGCTTAATCTCATTGGCCAGATGCTACTCTGGGGTGAGGAGAAAGAGTCCTACGACAACGAGGAGACTGAGCGCGTGAACGAAGCTGAGAATATGGCTACTTGGCGAGGCGATGGACCATTAGGAGTGCTTGTCGCGGTTATTAACTACATCAAAACACCACAACAGTACGCTCTTTTTGAGAAGTATCAGAAGCTCGCTATTAGGGACCAGCCTGTCAACGCGCCAACAGAACAGCACAAAATCAAGGAGCCCGTTAAGCTAGTTGTTACTCGCTATAACTCTTACGTTTCGTGTTTTAAGCGCGCTGTTGAGTTGTAATTAGCGGTTAATAGGTACGCCAACTACCATATTTAGAAGATTGAAACTGAAGACGCGTACGCCCGAAGTCGTAACAACAAGCTGCCTGCAGCGCCGGATTGGATGAGGTCTGATGGGATCAATGCCCATGACTGGCAGGTGATTGCTGAGTATATTGATGTGCTTAGGCCACTAAAACAAGCTACAAAACGGCTTGAAGGCCGCGGCAAAAGCGGTGCTTTTGGAGCAATCGCTGAGGTTATTCTAGTATTTGAATACTTACTTGGAGTCTATGAGGACCGCTTGCAAAGCTATGAAGACGTCATTTATGATGAGCATACAGAGTCACCCGAAGACCACCTTGCTATCAACCTCCGCGCTGCCCTAGTTAAAGCCCGCGAGTACTACAACAAGCTCGACCTCTCGCCAGCTTACTATGCTGCTATAATCCTTCATCCTCGCTACAAAAGCTACCTTGACGCAGCGTGGGCGGATAAGCCTGATTGGCTAGAGAGCAGCAACCGCAAGTTTCAACATTTGTGGGCGGAGTACAAAAGCTTACCGAAGCCGCGCTTACGCTCTAAAGTTAGGCACAATGATATAGAAGACGCTATCAACAGCTTTATTAAGCCGGCAGGGCTTACGGAGAACGAGGAGGATGAATATGAGGCTTAGAAACGCAGCGAACCGATCGCTAGCGAGGGCGTCGACCCTATAAAATACTGGGTAGGACTCCGCGATCGCTACCCCAGCCTTAGCAAATTTGCTATCGACATGCTATCAATCCCAGGCTCAAGCTGTGAGTGTGAGCGCTTATTCAGCGAGCTGGGTGACCTCCTCGAGCCCCGTCGGCGCAGCATTTCTCCGCAACTTCTAGCAGCAATACAGTGCGATCGACGATGGATAAGAGCTAGATTTGGCAGTGGTGAGGTGCCTGTAAAGGAGGCTATCAGCGATGAGGAGATGGACGCGAAATACGGTGTACATAAGTGGGATATTAGCTGAGAAACTCAACACCAAGGTTTCTATATAACTTTCCTAATCGGGACTGAGCCCATCAAGCCGAGCGAGCTGACAGCCCTGTTTCAGCCAATCCGAGCGAGCCGAGCGAGCTGCTGGCCTCCGCTCAATTGGCTGAGCAAGCCAATTGGCTGAGCTCGCTCAGCTTGCTCATTGACATCTGTGTTCTGCGACCTCAAATCTATCAGATACAGACATATAGCTCCCTCCTTTCTCTCTCCCTTTTCTAAAATAACGTAGGCGTTACTTCATGAGCGCTTCTGCGATCTAAAATTCATCACACATTAAAGCGATGACTCCCTCTCCTCTCTCTTTTTTAAACACATTCACAGCATACCATGAGCGCTTCTGCGAGATAAAAGCCGCGATTCGGGATGTCATGGCTCTCTCCTCTCTTCTCTCTCACTCTCTACCTCTTTCTTTCTAAAAAGTACGAGGCGTTGACTACATGACTGCTGCTGCGAGATAAAAATCTGCGATTCGGAAGGTATAGCTCCCTCCTCCCTCCTCTTCCCCTCTTTTCTAAACTCCAATCGCGATATAACATGAGCGCTTCTGCGAGATAAAAATCTACGATCTGGGAGGTTATAGCTCTTTCTCTCCCTCCTTTCCCCTCCCTCTATCTAAAAGGACCCACTGACATGGAGGTGACTGCGTGTGAAAATAAAGCCAAGGATCATGCCATGTCTCCCTCCTCCTCCTTCTCTTTCTTCTAAAACATTTGTCTACAAAGACACGAGTGCGCGTGAGAGCTAAAAACGATTACGAATATGGAATGGCTCCCTCCTCCTTCTTTTTCTTCTAAAACTTCGAAACCTGCAGATTATGACTGCTTCTGCGAGATAAAAATCTAGGATTCGGGAGGCATGGATCCGTTTTCCCTCTTTTCTCCCTCCACCTCCCTCTATCTAAAAAAACGTTTTTGAAGAATTCATGAGTCTCTCTGCGAGATGATACGGTACCATTTCTTCTTATATCTCTCTCCTCCCTCGTCCTTCTTCTTCCCTCTTTTCTCTCCCTCTCTCTCCTCCCTCTATACAAAAAAACGACAAATCAGAACCATGTGCGTGTAGAAACAACCACCTTCTCAACAACTCCATGCCTCTTTCCTCCTCCCCTCTTCGTCTTCCTCTTCTTCCCTCCATTCTCCCTCCCTCTCTCTCTCTTCTTTCTTTCTAAAACAATACGCAGTCGCATTGCATGACTGCTTCTACGGGCTGAAAAAAATACCATAATCAACAACTACATGTCTCCCTTCTCCTCCTCTATTCTTCTCCCCCCTCTTTCTAAAACAAACAGCAACGACAAATGACTGCGTCTGAAAAAAACAGCCTTCTTGATTATTGTGGTAGAGGGATAGCCTCAATAGTCAGAAGAGAGGCTGCCGACCCGCAATCGGTAGAGAGTAGAGAACAAGAAGGTATCCGAACAATAAACGGTAGTATTAAGAATCGTGTACGATAACTGTCGAGCTCCTCTACGCGGAGTCGTCCTAAAATACTCAACCCTAGCGCCGATTACCTAACGCCGAACACGTGACAAGCTACTACACCACATTATTTTATGTCTCCTTCTCCCTCTAGTCTCTCTTTTTCTCCAAAAACAAACAGCGACGAACAAATGAGTGCGTATAAAAAAACTCTGACCACTTCAACCTATGTCTCCCTCTTCCTCCTCCTCCTCCTCCTCCTCCCATGTGCGTGTCAGACTTTGAACCAAAAACATAAAAGACCAGTCAAATGCCTTCTTTTGAAACTCCGCGGGTGGAAAAAAAAACTAAAAAAAAACTGACCTTGTCACTTGTCATGTTCGGGATGGTGCTTGTGCTGTGATGAGTGAGTATGTTTGGATTTTGGAAGTCCGGGGCCGGAAAATACTGTGGATGATGGGTGGATGAAATGGGATGATTATGATGATGTGGTGTGTTGAAACGATGGTAAAGAAGCCGGATGTTGTGGTCTGGGCTGCGGTGCTGCAGTTGTTTTCTGGGTATAAAATTGTTGTCGATGGGCGGGGATGTTGTGGACTCAGTCAAAGACATAAATTCGCAGAAGACAGCAGGGTGTGAGCAAAATGAGAAGAGAAATCATGTCATTCATTATGTAGCCGAACATTGGCTGTGGTCATGTAATTAAAGCGCCATGCCGTCCTTCTCGATCATAAGAATCTGCCTGACACCTCATCACACGCATTTTACCAAAAATATCCACCATATTCGGACAATCTCCATGTACAGTACAGTAAGTACGCTCGGAAGATGGCTCGTTGCATCATGTGGGCGGCAGCTTGTGAACCATGGTTGTGTGATCGACCATCTTCGTGACTTTGTAACCACCAACCTCCTCGACCACTTTGTTCTTGCATACGACGATAAACTCCATGGTTGCAGTAGGCTCGAAATCATCCAAGAGTCCCCACCGCTTGAGCAGGTCCATAGCTGATGGAGGTGAGTTGTCCGTCTGGAATGCGTGTTTGTAGCTAAACTTGATCGCAGCGTGGTTGCACGGCTGGGAAAAGTAGACGACGATAGTGACCTTCTTGTCTCGTATGTCCTGTAACAAAGCCTCCTTGCCATGATTGACAAGGAGCTCCATGGTTGAGGTATAGTTGATCACGTCGTATTGTCTAACCATCCAGATTTGGTAGGTCATGCCTGGATCTGCACATGTGCAGTCTTCGTCATCATCGCTGTCATCGTCGCGTGGGCGGTAACAATTCGGAGCGCAAGAGGCACAAGGGGTCCACATGCACTCTCTGTCTGCAACTACTGCCGGATGAAAACCAACCTTGAGTTCTGCAGAATGCGAACGTAGGCGCAAGATGTCGGTAATATCGAAGGGCTGTCTGTTGTCCAGCCCATGCTTCCATCCATAGTGAACAAGCTTAGGCACAGGATTGAATCCTTTGCGGTGATGCAGAAAATTCTTCATGAAATGATCGATATCGGAGCGTCTGTCGAATCGGACGCACAAGTTTCGGGCCCAGAGGGGGCGAAATTCGGAACGAATAGTTTTGCAGACTTGAGTCAAGCCGATAAACCGCCAGATGCGATACTTGTAGGCTTGTCGCGACCGCACGCGGACACTGGGGGCAAAGTTATAGTACTCATCATCCAGGCAGTGCTCGTAAATGCGGTTCCGGAGTTCTGCTCAGTCAGCACGTGTATGTAATCATAATTGCAGCGGTGCATACCAGCAGGCAGATCGAGGATGCGGAAATACAGCGGGGCCTCAACCACAGGCTTTGGGCTACTCGCACAGGTGCTCGCAGACGCCGCCTTGACGTTACGCGCGGTCTTGTCCTTCTCGCGCTTGTTCTTAGCCCGTCTATGATGATGTTAGTAAGGAACGCGAGCCCAATCTGCAGAATAGAAGAACCTACGTGAAAACCCCCATGATTGACTGTGTTCAGTTGCAGAGGTGGTTTAGGTTGGAGGTGCAAATTGAAAGGCGGGGAGAGGCATTAATAGTCATGGCAAGAGCGATTGCCAAGACGCGCTAGCGCAGTCACCCTGACGCAGTTGCGTTTCTACACTGCAGAATAGCCAGCAAACAGAGCAAGTGCGACTTGTCTCATTTACGGGACGACTGATGATGGTTTTTGTTGCAATTTCCAGCATGTGCGCATTGCATCTAGAGCCATGAGGCCATTGAAGAAGGTGTTTTTGAGTCCTTGATGCTCACCAATGTTTTCCGTACCAACCGTTTCTCGCTGTGTTCACGTCTACATCTTACTTCTTCCACAGCAACCAAACATTTTTCAAAGGCGGCCTTGGAAGGAAACCGGGTCGATACATACGCCGCGTCAATGCTCGATGTTTTGGCCTGCAGTCATCCCGCCAAGCAGCAAACATCAGCACAACAACAACCTGAGACCCAGTACAGCAACAATCCAAGCCTCTGGGTAGATCCCTAAAACGAGCAGTCTTTTTGTTCTTTGGGCGGAAATACCTTCTGTGCAGCGATACCTGTCTCGCTGTTGACGTGTCTTAACAGTCTCTACCTTTCTCGTCGCCCACTCAATAATGTCTGCGTCCAATAAGCTCTGCCTCTTCACTTTTCATTCTAAGCACCATAGCAGTCACCACCGCCCTTTCTACAACTCACCGAACCAGGTATCGTCATTGGAATATCTGCGCAAAAGACGCGAGTCGCACGTATCAATCTGGATGGAGGCAATGGGGATACCTTAGGTCTTGGTGACCAAGAAAGAAAGGCTGTTGTCGCAACATCTGGCTTTCATGTCGAGGATATACCAGCGTGGCTACTACGCGACTCATTCTCGATGCTATGATTGATCGCATGTTTGTTTTGGCCGGGCGTCCGATAATGTAGACATGTTGTTGGAAGGGTCCGTTTCGTGGCGTTTGCATGTAGCTTCGTACCGCGAACAAAAAGCTTGGTGAGGCGAAGCTCTTTTCTGCCGAGATGTGGAAGCTTATGACAACTCACCCAGAGTGCGCAACACGAGAAATCCCTACATGGCGCGACCAAGCTATCTCTTTCCTATAATCTTTGATGATGGTTGGGAGGTATTTAGCATGACGTCATTCAATCAACGAGAGGGGAGGCAACCGGAGACTTTGAAAGTTGAGACAAGGTGGCCTTTCGAGCACAACGTCTTAAAGTGAAAAGCTACAAGTTTGGAGCAAGTGTTGCATGTCAGACCACTGCGGAGCCGCGGACGCCAAACTGTCCGTCTGATGTGTTGCAGTGACAGTCGTGGGTCGTGCGTTCGTCTCCAAGTCCCACCTGCACCCAAGATTGGTCTCCACTGCAACCCCACTGTTCGCAAGCTCCAAGCCATAGGCCCCTGCTCTCGCGCTCCTTACCCATCGAATATGTTACGTTTTCGAATTCGGGCGGTGACATGCAAAAAAAAGATAAGAGTAACTATTCAAAGTGCAGTGATAACAAAGTACGCCTGATGCAATTGTCATGCCATGAAATTTGCAAGCGAATTTGGACGTTGAATTAGAGTCGCGAAACGTTTCGGCCCTGCTCAAAAGGCTGCGTCGCAATGGGGGATGGTGTAGTGTGTCGCTTTGGTTGACAGCAGGCGGCGGCGGCACGCAGACTCAGCACCAAACTGCCGACCGACCCCGGAATCCCCGGATTACCTACAAATTCTCGGTGTCTGTGTCAGTCATCCCCAGAACGAACCCCAGAAACGTTCTTCCCATGGCTACCCAGAAGCATCGCGCAAACCATCGGCGGGTAACCAACAAGGCTAAGCCTTCTAGTTCAGTTTCCAGAAGCTTGTCCGCCGTCCTGGGCAACGCCGGAGTTGAGCCTCTTTCCCCACATTTGCCGGCTTTCCTCGGCTCAGAAACTAAAAACCTCACTCCGCTCATCGGACCGCGCTTGAACACACCGGTTTCTGGCCAGTGCCCATGGCGCAACACTGTTAGAACCGAAGCAATGCGCTCAAGCGTCATCTGTTCGAGTCAAGCGAAATTCGCTGCAACCATCAAGGCAAAACCAAGGACACAACTTCCCCCGCCTTTGCTGTTACATAACGATAATTGGTTCCCCAGACTTTTCCACGCATGCTTTGACAGGGGGGCTGGTGGCCTGCCGCCGTGCATGATCGTCCCACACACCATGGATAAGGATTTGGCCACCGCCGCTTGGGTAAGCCCGCACTAGCAACTGTCAAATCGCGCCGGACCATAGCACCGCATTTGAAAAATCTGCCATGGAAACTACCTCGTGCGCTCTAGCTGCCTGATTCGAGTCGTCGCGAGGTTGCGCCTTGTATATATATATATATAATCTTCTGGTGTCCCCGTCTTGTGTAAAGTCAAGATTGGTGTTACCGGCAAGCCAACCCTTCCTTCTTTCATATTACTCATCATGCCGAACCACCAGCTGGCTGACGAGAAGCCCGAGGCTGTGCCGTATGGCTATGAGGAGACTAATGTTGGTTTCGAAGAGCCGTTTGTGCATGGCGCTGCTACTGTTGGCGGTGAGACTGGTCGCGGAGGAGATACTCACCGTGGACTGAAGAGTAGACATATTCAGTTCCTGTAAGTTTGCGCCGTTTGCGTATATTCAAATCGCATGCTTACCTTGAAACAGCGCGCTTGGTGGCGCCATTGGAACTGGTCTCTTCATCGGATCTGGATCGATTCTTGCTCTGGTCGGCCCTGCGCCGCTGTTCATGGCATACCTTTCTATGATGCTCGTCGTCTACAGCGTCATGAACAACTTGGCTGAAATCGTCACCTATCTTCCCATGCGCGGCATCACCATCCCGTACTTTGTCAAGCGCTTCGTAGACCCCAGCTTGGCCTTTGCCGTAGGATGGAACTATTGGTACGCGTACGCCATTCTTGTGGCTGCCGAAGCGACTGCTGGCGCCATTCTGCTCGACTACTGGGAGACGCCTGTTCACAACGCCGTTTGGATCACCATCTTCCTCGTCGTCGTCCTGTTCCTCAACATTGTCGCAGTCGAAGTCTTTGGTGAAGCCGAGTTCTGGTTCGCGTCCATCAAGTTCCTGACCATCATCGGCCTCATCATTCTCGGACTTGTCATCATGCTCGGAGGCAGTCCAAACGATCAGGGAAGGCTAGGCTTTAGGTACTGGAACAAGCCCGGCGCATTCAAACCCTACATTGTGGAAGGCAACTCTGGAAAGTTCCTGGCCTACTGGACCGCCTTTGTCCGCGCTGGTTTCGCCTTCATCACCTCTCCCGAGTTGATTGCGCTCTCTGCAGGTGAAACCATTGCACCTCGCCGCAACATCCCCAAGGCCGCCGGTCGCTTCATATACCGTCTCGCCATCTTCTACGGCCTCGGCTCCTTCATCATCGGCGTCATCGTCCCCTCAGATGACCCCCGCCTCCTGAGCGGCAGCTCCAACGCCTCAGCCTCCCCCTTCGTCATCGGCATCCAGCGCGCCGGCATCGCAGGCCTCAACCACGTGGTCAACGCCGCAGTGCTAACATCCGCCTGGTCCGCCGGCAACGCCTTCCTCTTCTCGGGCTCGCGCGTCCTCTACGGCATGGCCCTCAACGGCGAAGCACCCAAAATCTTCGGCCGCACAAGCAAAAAAGGCGTCCCCTACGTCGCCGTCCTCGCCACCTGGGCAATCGGCCTGCTCGCCTACCTAAACGTTTCAAACACGGGTGCGCGCGTGTTTCTCTGGTTCTCAAACATCTCCACCATCTCCGGCTTCATAGCTTGGATCGTGGTGATGATTACGTATATCCGGTTCCGCAAGGCGATGGTGTTTAACAACCTGCTTCACACGCTTCCCTACCGCACGCCGTTTCAACCCTACCTCACGTATTTCGTCCTCGGCATCATCTCCCTGCTCACCCTCACGAATGGCTTCCAGGTGTTTGTGCCGAGGAATTGGTCCGTTTCAGACTTTCTGGCTGCGTACATTACTCTTCCCATCTTTTTGGTGCTGTACTTTGGCCACAAGGCGTATTTTAGGACGGCATTTGCTATCAAGACTGAGCATATTGATGTTACGACGGGTGTAAGGGAGATGAATGAATTGTGCAAGGATGATATTTCTAGTGCGCCCGTGGCGAAGAATTGGGCGCAGAAGGTTTGGTTTTGGATTGCGTAGGTGGTTGTTGTGGTGGTTATCATGGGTTTGGGTATTATGATGCGGGGTTTATGATAGCGTATTGATATTCAATTTTCTCATTCTAATGAATGGTTTTTTGGGTTATTATGGGCTGTGAGACGTGAGCTTTTGGGCAATGGAATTAACTCGCTTTATTGGCTTGTCCTTTGATGGTGATGCGGAGCCGGTGAGCTAAGTTAGTTTTGTTGTGGAAGGGTCCACGTTTTGTAGACTATGATCTTTATTTTATGTACAACTTGCAGATTCGTAGTCGTGAAGGTGATTCACGCATGCGTTGAAGGTGTAGTGTCAATCGCTGTAGCGCTGTTTCTCTCGTGAGAGTTTGGTGTAGTTGTGTATGTATAACGTTTTTATTGTTTTTTATTGGAACAAGGTCCCTCTAGTAGTATGACTACTATGGATAACCGAGTGGGAGGAGGGACAAGGCGGGGTGGCTGCAACGTATTGTATTGACTATCGTATTATGTGTCCTTCTCTCAGGCTGTTGTGGTGGATGCCATTGCCCACCGGGCAGTGCCTGCCACACCAGCACATCATGTGACCCCCAAGCACCTTCTATCTGGACTGAACCCAGATATTCTCAACATTTTTGTTGATTCTGGAATTAGGCTTTGGTCACGTGGTTCAATGCGTGCTCGCTTCCAACATCTTGCAAATGTTTCCGAATTTGTGTATCAAGGGATGCGAGACATCAATCCTATACATTAGAATTGCTGTATCCGTGATTAAACATACTTGGTTGGTTGTTGGAAGGTCTATAGCACTAGTGCTGAAAGGAAATAACGATAACTAGGAATGCATTCTGTTCGGTGATGGTGATTGATTTATTACGAACACAGCTGCTACGAAGGTATACCTAAGCTCTGCGCAAGGTGGGCCGAAGTCGGGCCGAAGTGTCCAGCAGCCGACGTCTCTACCGATACTCACGATCCGACACTGGAAGTCTTTTCTTTCTGGGTAGCTAGTAACTCTGCTTGTATCGGTAGTGACAGTATGTGTTGATGGTAACTGTGTGTAGCATCAACCATCAAAGCTTGTCGGCCTCTGCACCCATCCCTCTACTCGGACTGTCAGCTTATTGCCGTCAATAAAGCGTTCAAGAGCGCGGTTTGGCGATGCCTTGGTGAAGGCGTCTGCAGGATTGTCTTCACCATTGATCCAGCGGATCTCCGTGATCTCGCGACGCTCATATGATTGGCGCAGCGCCATGATGTCGATCATGAGACGCTTTTCCTTCGTCGTCCCAAGCTTTACTAGGCACTCGTACAAGGAGTACGAGTCTGTACAGATAACCAAGGGAATTGCAGGTAGTCTAAGTCGTTCTGTAACTATCCTCAGCGTGGTTGCAACTGCAATGCCTATGTCAAAGCCGTTGACCATGCCGTAGATCTCTGAGGCCAGTACGCTCCGTGTGATGCGCTTGCATTTTGTAGAGCTGTAGTGGATCACGTTGCCCTGTATTGTGAAGGTGTTCACGTCAATAGACTCGTTGACGAGCATAAGGACAAAGCCTAGCTGTGAGCTGAGGTCCTTGTTGTTGGCAAAGGAGCCATCCACAAAGACCATCAACTTGGCCTCCATAAGATTGACAGTGACGTAGCGCAGGCCACGATCGAGATTCTCCATCTGCCATTTCAGGCGTTTGTTGAGTGCCTTGATGTCCTCGTCTGATGGTTGCTGAGCTTGAGCAGCGACGGACAGGTCAAATGACGCCTCTGGTTGGCATGTTGATGCGATGTACGCTCCGCGGGCGCGCTGCTCGGTGTACTGTTGCGCGCGGTCGGGTGCCCCGATATCCACAAGCCTGATCCTTCCTCCTTGTCCTTTCTGCCTAAGGGTCAAGACTCTGCTGGCGTCCATCGTGAGTGTACATCCATTGAAGTCTAACTGCACTTCTGGTGTCAGCCTTGCTTTTGGCTTTGACCTGAACTCTGCCTTCTGGATCTTCTTCTCTTCACGTGACGAGAACGCTGGTGTCCCGAGCATGAGAGTGTCGTCTGTCTGCATGCCAACGATGCCGAAGATGCCTGCGTCGTCGCTGTTCGTGATCAATAGGCATGGGTCGTACGTCGATGTTGCCATGTCCAGTTCCTTGCAATGGTGTCCGTGATACGTTGTCCACCAGTGGACTCCTGCCTCAGCGATTCCATACAGCGGCTTGATCACATGGAGTAGCGTGCCTTCTGGATATCGATGGACTAGCTCAGTAGGAAGATGTGCGAGTATCGTCCTCTTCAGGGTTGTCTGCGCCTGGGGATACGCCTGCGTAATGTCACGGAGCTCGATGTTCATTCCGCGTTGTACCATCTCGGGCGCCAGCGACATAATCAGGCGCTGGCTACATCGCTGTATGGTTGGAGATTGCGTCAGAATAGTCTCCTTGCCGTGGTCCTGGTAGCCTTGGATAACTAGGCGGGATTTCTCATAGGGCTTGGTTGTCTTTCCCTTGACCTCACGTACTAGGCGTGACTTGAAGATCCGGATCTTGCTGTGTGTGACGTACGTGTTCAATAAATTGGGGATAGTTAATAACGTTTTTCGATCGAAAAAGATACAGTACGAATCGGGTTAATGACAATAACAACCAACATCCTAAGTTCACATAAGATAACTAGTAGATATGTCGTTAATTATAGCGCCCATCAAGAGTGCACGTATACAA